TACTGCTAAAAATTTCACTTTATGCAGTAAGTCACTCCCTAGTCCGGATAGCTTTCATACGGTACAAAGTAATGCCTATATTTAAGATATTTGCAGAAAAGTAAATTCCGATTGGATTTATTTATCACGGATGACATTTATCATGAACTCTAGACATACCACCTCACTCTTGATCTCGGTCTAGACTTGACAATCGTCAACATGCAATCTGCACTTCGGTACAATTAGTTTATTCCATTATTAAGATGAGATTTCTCCAGGTGTGCGCAAGGATCCTATTCTTACTTAGATTTTACCATCGACTGCATCCTTTGGTTAGATTTTATGCTACTTTTAACACCAAATTTATGCTGTATTTGTCATTGCCCTTAATTCTGCTAGGTCATCGTTATGAGATGAAGTATGAATTAGCTTATTAAAGCATCAATTTCTAAGAGTAACTCTCTACTTTTCGAAAATACGTTTAATTATTCAAGCTGATATGATGGATTCGAGTAACTTTTTACTTTGAATATTTGTATTCTAGTATAACTCGGGTTTCGCATTTTATTCATGTGATGACTTCCTTCATATTTTATTAAGTACTGATGTTTGAACATCGTTAGCCGATATTTATAGCTTTTAAATTCATAGAGTACGGTGTAAATTCATTCACTTTATGATTTGTATATGACACAAAGGTAGTACAAATTATGACCTAAAGTAATCGACGAGATAAGACATTTATTTTTCAATATTGAAATATTATTAGTAATAGATTGGACGCTTATTCTCTGAAAGATATAACTGCCAAAGTACACAAAGGTTGCTCAGCGCGAGGATTCAAGAGTTTGCTTTTGCATCTACATATCTGTAGATCGAATCCTTTGTGTTGCTGCTTTAACTTAGGCGGGGTTCAACATACGGTCTAATTCCTATTCAGTGAATATTTATTGCAAAATGTACTCCTTCACTATTGGAAGCTTAATTATCATGTTACAAGCATGCCTATTACTTCCATAATTCGCTTTGTCACTTATTCCCTGTTTATTCCCATCATATATATTTATTGTATTTAACGTGGGAGTTTTGATCCTTTAACTATATACTTTTAAAATATTCCACTTATTAATTTAGATTTCTCTCGCGCCTCCTCACTTTACTTCATCGGGACAGGGGCTCACTAACAAGTATAGTACTCCGACACTTGGTATTGCTGGCATCACTGGTTCCGGAAATATGGGCAATCTTCTGAGCGCTGGGCTTGGTCTCACTCCTCGACATGAATCCTGGCCACTAGCTGGGGTAGTAGGTACCCCGCGCCATCAGCCAACTGTATGTACTGGCTTTTCTGGTCCAAGTTGTAGCGGCAGCAGCGGGAGTGGCATCGGTCTCGCCAGTCCATACTTAGTCAGGCAGCAAACTAACTCTGGAAATCTTCT